CAAGTAGAAATGCTTCAGTCAAGAAAAGTGTTTTCAATGCAAAATGTCACTTAAGAACAAAAGTGCTTAATGACAAGTCTTGCTGTTGAATTAAAGGCTGTGGCTAATGTCGAAATACCCACAGCTTCAACAGTGGCTATCAGCTGGTGACACTGACTGTTGTTCCAGAACAAATACATTTTAATATAAGCTTAAAAAAAAAAATAATCTTTTAATCATAGCAAATATTCCAGTTTTATCTGACAGTGACACTTTGATGAGGCCAAAAAAAATTCCCACCCAGAATTTTATTACGTGGAAAATCTGGACCCTTTTTGATACCACTTCAGAACAGTAAAACAGACACCAGAGCATGGAGCGGCCACAGTGTGGGATGCAGGGCTTGAGCAGGGACAGGTCCCTGCATCTGCCTGCATGGCTCTGTCCCAACACTGCCCCACTGGGCGCAGTCCCTTGCTCCCTTAAAGCTTGGGTGCTGCACAGCATCACAGTGTTTCTGTTTGCTTGGGTGAGAGCTCTTTGACTGCTCCACTAATTTGCAACCACAGAGCCAGTGCCTCTCTATAGGTGTGACATCTGTGGCATGAGTTTCTCCCTGCCTTAGCCAAGCACCCAGGCACAGTGTAGGTGCAACCCCAGCAAGTGAGGCTGCCTGCTGAGGGGTAAATCATGGCAAACACAGGGACCAGCCTGGCTCCAAGCAGTGTCATAGCCAAAGCCCCAATTTGGTGGCACCCCACAGGCACGGAGGGGGACGATGAGCTGCAGCCACCACTGCAGCAGCTACCATGGACTCACTCTTAACATGGTTTAGCTGTGTTTGGAGAGGAGAGGGTAACCACCGCCATCCTGGACATTTCCCTCCTGCCTGTCAGGCAGGATGTGACAGCCTGTTCCTCAGCAGGGTCACCTAGGGCATAGCCCATCACCCGGGTCTGCACAAGGGGAAAACCCTCAAACACATGCAGGGCAGCTATGGAGGCCTCAGCATCAACTCCTCAGCACCAGGTCTCCTGTAGCCCATGTAGCAAGACTTGCCCACACCCACACGGGTCTCTGCCACCCCACACCTTTGCCTGTGCAACCGCACCAGCTCCAGCACAGGCCCAGTGCAGAAGGTGTGTGGCTCCACTCTGCTTCCATCTCCTGCTCCACCTCAACCAGGGCATTCCCTGGGCATTCTGCCTGAGGTGTGGGCTCAGGGTTCAACCTGAAAGTCTGCCACATGCCTGTCCTGACCTCAGCTGCCTAGGTGACTACAGAAATGCACATCTGAGCACCTTGTTTCACACCCACAATGGAAACTGAATGAAAAAAGTACAGCCTAAATTTCAGAGGATGAGATGCTGGAATTATATTTGCCTGAGTGCAAACTCATTAGAGACCCAGAGATGCACCCAAGCAGGGGTGCCAGGTCTGGGGGACTGCCCCTTCCCACTGCCTGGCACTGATGTGCCCACTAGCCCACCTTGTGCCTCACTGAGGGGGGAAAGGAAACAATGGTAGCCACAGAGGATGGAGATACTCCTTCACAGGCTGCTATCAGTTTGCCCTTTTTCACAAAGGAGCTGGGAGGGGGAGGGTGGGGTGTGTTATTAGCATGGAGATGCCTCACCCCAATTTGTGGGTAGCCCAGAGCCTGATTGCCCCATCTCTCAGCAGCTGTGGTGCAGCGCCCCACTCTTTGCAAGCTCAGCACTTTTCATGGGCTGTGCCAGTTGCCGTCAGGGCCAGAGAGCATGTCCAGCCCATTCGTTTGCTAGCAGAGATGTCACCAGGGTGTTCTGGTGAGTGTCAGGTCAGTCCCTGCCAGCTCTATGGCTGCTCTGAAAAGCTCTTTTGACGCCGAGGTACTGTTTGCAGGGTGCTTTGCCAGCCGGCTGGGCACCTCCTGGCATAGATGGGAGAGGGTGTCAGTGAGGGGTGGGTGAGAGGTGCTGGTGGTTCTCACAACTCCAGGGCTGGGAAAGACAGTGGGGCCATGGGGCTGCATGGGAAGGCCCCGCAGCCTCACGCTCAGCTGCTGAGCCATTGGGAATACAGTTATTTTTTCTCATTAATCTTCAGTAATAAAGTCAGCATCAAAATCCCAGGGGAGCTCAGATCTGTGGGATCAGGCGGTTCGTGCAAATGCTGTCCAGCAGACAGACACTCCTACGTGCTCTCCTGCCAGCTGCAATTGAGCTTCATGCCCCTGGAAATCAGGGAGCCGCACCAGGCATGAGGGGGCATGGCTCCAGCTCTGCAGGCCTCCCGCTGCTTGGAGGAGCCTGGAGCTTCACCTTGAGAGACCCTACAGAAGAACTGGGTCTGCCCCTTAAAGACTTTTACCTACTTTACCTCTTTCAGCCCTGAGTGGGCAAGTCCCTGCTCTTGTGGCTCTGCTACAGTCCAGTGACTGGTGCTCTGTAATTTCTTCCACAGCTCTAGGGTGGGGGTTTAATGAATGCACAGAACAAGTTGTGGAAATAGAGGTCCAAAATGGCTGATGAAACTCCATGCAGAAAGATGATAAGGAAGCTATACTGGGATATAATGCGCTGGGATTGCAGTTGTGCATTTTAGCAGAGACTTATCTGGAACACTGAAAAAGAAACCGTATACCACTGAGCAGAAACAAGGGTTACACAGAAATAGCTTATATTTTCCATGGACCTTTGTCCAGTAAGAAATGTTTGGTTTGTGTGTTTCAAGGCTTTAAAGTGCTAAGAAAATATTTCCAATAAGAAACTACTCAGACCTTCCTTTTCTTCCCATGACAGCTGAATTTCTTTAAGAGCTCTTCTGGGAGAGCTTTTTGGAGATCCAAATGCACTCTGAGGACCAGATGGTCTTGTGTACACAATGGCTGGTTTCCCCCAAGAGCGCTCTAGGTTTGTGACTTACAACTGCCTCCTCAAAAGCCATGTGGAATCTCCCATTACACCAGATTTATCCTAGGCCCTGTTATTTCAAGACTTTATTATCCTTCCTAACAACTTGCCTTTTATAGAAGGCAGCCTCGTTGCTTTGTGGTTTCCTGGTTCCCACTGGAACTTTTTAAAAATTAGCATCATATGTAACAACATTGACTACTTGGTAGAAGGATCACTGTAATTCTCACCCAGGTAGGTGTTTGGCAGTTCATCTGAGCACTCCATCAAGCAGATTTTTAACCATATGTTCTAAAAGTGGTGTTTAAAACATTTATTCCCCCTCCCCACTCCAAGTGCTTTGTCCCCTAAGGCATAATGGTGGAGTGAGCTCCAGCAGAGCAAAAGCCGCTGCATGTAACTCACCAAGCCTTTCTGTGATGGCTCTTTCCTTCTTATAGAGCTGGATCATGTCCTGTCCCTGGGGCTTCTTACATAGTTATGATTTTTATGCCTTTAGGATGCTTTCCTCAAATCTGCGGCTAGCCTTTCAGTTTTCACTTCAAGATCTACTACTTCAGGTGTTCATTTTCACTCCTCTTTGTAAGCACATCACCTTTTTCTAAGAATCTCTTTGAGCACTGGCATGCTTTTATGCCTATATAATCCACTGCTCCATGCTTACACAGCCTTTGTGCTGCATAAGCTCAACACCCTCAGATACTTGCGTGATGCTCCTGACCAGCCTACCTCTTATTTACCTTTGACATTAAATATTACTCAAAGTATTGTGTTTGCTCTCATCAGGATGGTCTGATCAGTAATTATGGCTCCATGGCCCCTCATTTGTTAGCTTTGGACTAAACCTCACATGTGGTTGAGGAGTCCATTAATGCATTCCCCACTGACATACAGTTTGGGGCTACACCAGCCAACTGCCTCTACCAAGCTTCTGAGGTCCAGCCTGATGAGTAAAGAGCTTGTGTAATAGGAAGGAGATGAGATCCAGGCTCCCTCCACTCACCACAGCCAAGTCACTGACACAGGAGCCACGGGTAAGGTCGAAGAGAAAATCCTGGAAAGCAGCACTACCCGGAGCACTGGGACTCTGGCCAGCTGGGAATTCGGGAGTCACGTAAGACCCATGTCCCAGCTGCAGAGCCACTGAGTTCCTCGACCCTGCGAGTGGTCAGGGACATGGCTGGAACACGGCACTGTTCCTTGTGCCTGCTCTGTGCCCACAGCAGCGACCTGCTCCTCTTCCAGCACCAGGACAGCTTGGGGCAGGGGCAAGCCCACCCTGAAATGTGCATGGGGCTGGCATCATCTCTTGCACATACAGAGCACCCTTGGGAACATAGGGCCGAGCTCTGGTTCACTTGTGTCTGTAAGGAAAGCCCAGAGAGGCCTGCTGGGTACAGGCATTTTCAAGTCAATGCAAGTATTTGCATAGTGTTTATGCTCCTATAGGTACTAAAGTGACAGCCTGAGTCTGAACAGCAGCACCTCTGTAGCATTCCCTCTGCACCCAGAGCGGATCAGTGAGGACAGGCAGTGAGTTTCAAGATATCTGATGCAGGCAGGGCCACCACCCCAGGCACCTCAGCAAGTGCTGCTGAGCTTCCAGGAGCTCTACTATTCAAGCGGCACTGGTGCCACCGTGCGCTCTGTGGAGTGCAGCCTCAGCACAAGGAGCTGTGCACTGTCTCTGCTTTCCTGTGGCTGTCCACAGCATGGCCACTTGCCCGTGTGCATTCCTTGAAGCGTCACCAAAGACACAATCTGTGAACAAACGCAGTTTGGTTGGTGATGTGCAGGTGACAGATGCAATTTCAACACAAATATGGCACAGACAGATCACAGGATTTTATTTAAGTCCTGAATTCAAGAAATTGCTTGGGTTACACCATTTTTACACAGGTTTGCACACTAGATCCCAGCAGCATAGGACATAGTTTCCTGTCACCCACCAACCAGCACCTACATTTTTGATCAGCTGACAGAATCAGCTGCCATGCAAAGAAGTGCACCTCTACCTCCATGCTGGCCATGCAAGCACCCTGCTCCTCTCCCACGTGTGCATTTATCCTTGGCCCAGAAGAGCATTTGAACAGTGAATCAAACTCTTTCCTGCCCACCCCTTTTACTCTATGTGCCCTGCTGTGGCACTGCCTTTCCCAGCTTGTGGATGTCCCCATTCTCCAGCACCTCCACCCTCCCCTTGCCTGGCTGCAACACACTGGCCACCATAGCCCTGGCCACCGTTTCCACAGGTATTGAGTAAGCAGTAGGGAAGACCCAAGCCACAACACCCAGAAACTGCCGGGCTATCCACTCCATGGGCCGGGACTCCTGGCGACTGCACAGCAGCACCCTGCAGAGCGAGCAGGTAAGGTGGGTCAGACTGAAGCCATCCCTCAGGAGAAAGCTGGAGATTGGGTTCTCCAGCTGTGCTAGGGGCCCAGCCCAGCTTGCTAAACCCACACAGGGCTTTGGCAGGGTCCCAAAACATGACCTAGCTGAGCCCTGGGACATTAAACTCCTTTCCTCAAGAGCATAGTAGGGCTGAAGAGATACAGGCAACTATCTCCCCTGCAGAAGGTCAAGGTCTGTGCAGAGATAAGCTTTGACCTATGTCCCCTAATCTCTCTTTTCAACCCAATCCTCTTCTTACATGGCACATGACAATAGCATTGGGATAGGCCATGGGAAACTGCTGTGCTTGCTCCCTGCAGCATCGAGAAGCAGTGTGCTTGTCCAGGAGCTCCATCTGCAGCTTGTGGCTTCCTCCATTTCTCTCCCCGGCCCCCCCTTATGCATCCTTTCCCTCTTTCTCCATCTCCCAGCCCACTGACCTGTCAACCCTCCACCTAAGTCCTGCGCCCTCCCTCCTCCACTGCTACTCACGCTGGCCGGAGAATGGTACAGCGATCAAAACCAACAGCTTGGACCAGGTTCTCCACTTCTCCCTGTCACAGCAGTCAGGCAGGATGAAAGGAGACAAGGATGACTGCAAGGACCACCCTTGCCACACCGTGAACTGGCAGAAAAGGGCTGCCCAGCCATGGCCAGGACGGCACTAATGCCACTTTAAAGCCGATACTGGCCAGGCACTACCAGGGCAGCCAGCAGCTCTCCAGGAAAAGGCAGTGTAGGGCAAGTGTCTATGGTGGTAAACTGTTAGTCAGCACTGCACCCTTGCAACCATCAGGCTAACTGCAACTGGATGCTCCTGAGACAGCATCTGGATAGTGTCCAGCTCAGGGATCCCAGAACAAGACACTGGGAGACAGTATTGAGTCCTGTAGATGCTGGGGGCCGCAGCACACCAAAAAGCCTTCACGATGGTCATTGGTCCTACATGGGGAGGTTGTGGGCTCTCCACCCTGGGATAGTTCACGTCTCACCTGGACACAGTCCTGAGCCTTCTGACCTACAAGTGAAGCCATCCAAGCTGGCGAGCCAGGATCTGGCTGGAGACCTGAGCAGCCTTTTTGTGGTTTGAAATGGGAAACGGATGCTGTTGGGCGGGTTGGGACAGCAGACCTGCCCAGCCAGCCCCCTTCCCTTGTTCCCTTGTGCCCCAGCAGGAGCCCCCAAAATTCTCTAGAGACCTCAGCTCCTGCTTCATTCCTGAGCATCCCAGCATTTTCTGACTCCTACACGAGCATCAGGAGCTCCCCCCATGTGCCTCCTCACCTTCACCCGGAGGTAGAGGAAGCGGCTGTGCTGGTTTGCCCCCTTAGAGGACTGCAGGACAAAGTGTTTGCAGCCCCCTGCCCGTGCCAGCTCTGCC